CACCCAGGGATGCTGGAGCAGCAGAGGGTGTGGTACCAGACATACTACGCTGGATCAATTCTGCACCCCCTCCCAGCAGACCCAGACACATGCCCTCCACCAAATTTCCAGGTGAAGGTTTCTTGCCCCCCAGCATTCCCCCTCCTGCCCTGTCCTACTCTTTCACTACCAGAGACCCCTCTCTAGGCCTCTGGCCCAAGGCCGTGGCCAGCCCAGAACAAAAGCCAGAGAGGGAAGAGGAGAGGTCCAAGCCAGGACGTAGCACTTCCTTGGAGACACCCCTTCCAAAACCCCAGAGACAGTCCAACTTTGGTGTGTGGGTGACCACAGGACCCCCTCCTCTCAGCAGCCCCCCTCACCGCCTCTTCCCCAGGCTGGGACCCTCCCCTGGGCCACACCCCCTTCCATTCCTACACTCAGCCCAACAAAGAGACAGATACTCAGTCTGGCTTCGAGGGCCAGGTCTCCCCCAAAGTCTGTAACTCCAGGCGGCTGGGGGCCCCAGGGGTGCCCCCTCCCCAACGTAGGAGCAGATATCAGAGTACAGGCTTCTGAGTAACTCTTTGCACATTCCGTCAGTTTTTCTGGTTGGGAGTGGACACCCCCTCCGGACAGCCTCCCTGGATTGGGAGACCGATCCCCTCCCCTTTCCCTCTTCCAGTGCGAGGATATTTCTTTGTCTAAGGGCAGAGCTCTGGGGGAGGAAAGATCTGGAGAACCGTCCCGACTAGGGGTAGCTGGGAACTTTGTGGCACTTGGAAATCAGGGTAGGGGGCGGGTCTCTCTTTGTGGGGAAGGGACAGAGCCGGAGGCGGGCGAGAAGGGAAGAAATGAACTTTCCGCGCTAGGGACGGAGTGCCCCCACTACAGTCCCTCTCAGTGGTCCCGGCGCCCCGCTTACCTTGCCTGCCCACGATCTCGGCCACGTGCTCGGAGGTGGGCACCGGAACACACTCCGTGGTGTTGCTGCTGCCCTTCAGGCGCAGCTCGGCCTCTTTGTAGAGAGCGCAGAGCTTGGCGTCGCTCGCCCCTTTGGGGGCGGTGGGGGGCTGGGGCG